GTGTTCCCCAGTACTTGCTGATGATGCCACAGACTTGAAGAGTTACAGAACGGAGAAGTCAAGCAAGTACTGACCTAGAAACAGTAAAATTTACCCAAAAAAGGCCAATGAAAATATTGATTCTTTGGGAGGATCAAAAATTAATCATCTTTAGGAGGACCGCTCAGGTTAGTAGTGAGCAGTATGAAGAATAAAAAGGTCAATCCATTGTAGATTTACGAGACATAAACTATAAAGAAGCTTATGGTGGCTGCAGGCAAGCAAGTGTCAAATTACAGGTGCCAACCCACAGCAAGTGCTCTGCTCCATGTGACTGTTTTACTACAGCTGTAATTACTAATACTGAAAAGCCCCTACATTGGCTAAATATAAATGAAAACTAGACATGTATGAGGAAAAAAGAAAAACAGAGAAACAAGCCTTATAAGACATTCCCTCATCTTTTAAGAACTAAAGCAATTGAAGGCTCCCCTGAAAATCTACACAAGTATGTCCTGTCCTGATTGTAGTGGAAATCTTTGGTTCAGAGCCAACTCCCCTCTGCCTTTTCCACCCACATGAATGAATATTGAGACCTGCGGTCTAAAACTGGTCCAACAAAGAATGCCTGTGAGTACCTACCATGATAGTGGTTTAGAGTCAACTCTATCAAGAGCACTTCCTAAATTCTCCACTTATTACAGTTAAGGAGAGAGAGAGAACAAAGCATATTGCTGTATTCCTTTCTTTGTTCCTGATACTGCTGGCTAACCCCCTCTGTGATGGGGTGTGGACTAATCTAGCAGTCTGAGAATCTCAGAGGTCACTTACAGAAAGATTAAGTAAGGGAAGGCTGCTTTTCATAGAGGGTGAGCCAAATATGAAGAGGTCTGAGGGACAAGCAATGTTGCCAACCTATCTTCCTTTTCTGAACTTACATGTCTATTACTGAAGCTGCCGCCACCCTCTGCTGATTTTATATCATATAATAAGCATATAATAATGTATTAGTTATATATAATTATTTGTATATTTCATATAATACAATAAAATATACTACAGCCCTTTACTATGGACTCAATACAAGAGACTCTCCCGGAATCTTCAAACTTTCAGCCATGATTGGGGCTCTGGAGGCACCTAACTTCATCAGCTTCTTCATTCAGCCTTTCACTGTGGACCAAATACCAGAAATCGTCCAGATTGGGCATCAGAGTGATAACACTAAGGTATCCATCCTCGCAGGCAGAACAGCTACGAAGTTCTCAGCCTTTCCAGAATACAAGTGCCCATGTTGGGCTACACAGACCTTGTAGTGTTGACCAAGCTGATAAATCACCTTTTTTGATACTTGTACTTCCCGTTGGGAGAGAAGCCTCTGTAGCATATATGCAAATGTTGCTGATGCTGTGTACACCCTTGTGGTATTAAATTATATCCAACAGGAAACTCGGAAGAAAATCTTTTGAAAATAATGTAATATGGTTTTTTCCTATTAACATAAACATCAAATTAGAAGTGTTTCTAATTAAATTTTTCTGTCACATTCATCACTACATATTAAAATTACATTAAATGAGAATTGGTATACATTTCAAAGATAAACAACTCTTAGATCTTTCTTGTTGCTTTGAAAGCTGTCTTTGTTATAGTTTCTACCAAACTTCCTGATGGGAGATAGTCACTAGAATTCTTCTATGAGTACTATATTTATTTATAGGAATTGAAGCTATTTGTAGACTGAGTAGAAATTTAATTTGTTCATTTCTAGATATATATTTCATATGTTTTTCTATTTTCATTTCTTATTTTGTATCGTTTACAATATAAAAGTCACTACAAATAACATCAGGGAAGCAGATATTCCCCCCCCACCAACAATTTGTGAATATAAAGAAAAAATTCATATTCCACAGAAAAGTCATGGATATGCTTGGCCCTTATTTCACATATCCCAACTGCAAATAATACACAAATGTCTGCTATAACAGAATGGCAGCTTTTATAACGTAAGTAATAAAACACTAAAAGGCAGTGCCTTTTTATATCATGGAAATAACTATATCTACTAATTTTAAATGTTACTGGACACATTATATTTGCCCTACATTTCCCAAAGTTTGAAGCATTTTTCATAAGTGATATCAGAGATAAAACAGGTTTAAATACAGAACCACTTTTTTTTTTTACAAATGCACATAAAGCATGTTATTGTGTAGATGTGCAATGTCTACCTAACACTACCTCTCTAGAGCAGCACTGTTGCCAGGGGGCTCAGGGAGAGTGAGGATAGACCACAAGGACTCTGGCATTGCCAGTGGGCTAGCCCATCAATAGATTCATAATTTGATGGGATTGCTGGGGGTAGTGGAATGCTGTAGGTGGGACCCAGTTAAAGAGAGTGAATGCTTCTGGGGACATATGTGATATCTGGTTCCTGGTCTCTCCTGTTTCTCATACTCCATTTTCTTCTTCTGTCCATGCCTCTATCATGGTCTTCGGCTGCATTTTACCTCATGAAAGGCACAGAACAGTAGAGGAAAATTACCATGAGCTGAAATGTCTTCACCGGTGATATAAGACAAGATTTCCCTCTTTTAATCTATTTTCTCAGGTCGACAGTTGCAGAGATAGAAATCTGCCTTACACAGAGTCCATTGATTGAATATATTAATGTTTCAGAGGGATTCTGCTTGATGGAATTATTAATGATTTGTTTGCATAAAATTATTATGCTAAACTAACATCCCACATTGGTCATGAATTAACATTACAAATTTTAAAATTTACATTCATGACTCCTTGGCTGCATTCTTCATGTCTTTATGAACACTTCACTAGACATAATAAATGTCCTAATTGTCTTAGGGTGTTCCTGCTGTGAGCAGACACCATGACCAGGGCAACTCTTATAAAGATAACACTTAGTTGGGCTGGCTTACAGGTTCAGAGGTTCAGTCCATTATCATCAAGGCAGGAATGTGGCCACATCCAGGCAGGCAGACATGGTGCAGGAGGAGCTGAGAGTTCTACATCTTCATCTAAAGGCTGCTAGTGGAAGACTGGCTCCCAGGCAGCTAGCACAAGAGTATCAAAGCCCATACTAACAGTGACACACCTACTCCAACAGGGCCACTCCCAGGGCCAAGCATATACAAACCATCATACTACTAATTAGTCATTATTAAGATTTAAATAGTATTGTCCTCTATGCTTGCAACTATGAAATATTTTTAAAAGTTTGAATGTCAGTAAGTTGTTGATATAGGTAGCACAGTTTATATATAGACAATCAACAGCTAAGTGGCTCGCTTAAATCCTCTGTGTTAGCCATACTTCCTATCCCTGAGGCAGAATACTTTCATAAAAACCATTTATGAGAGAAGGGATGCACTTTGGCTTATGTCAGAGATTTCACTCCAATAAAACAGGCCATAACAAGATGATGACATTCATTTCCCTGCTTAAAGGAATCATATTACACATAAGGCCAAATGTTTCTATGTACGCTCAAATTTATATGTGTAGGCTTATACATCTGAGTGCTTATTCACCAGGAAGAGGACTCTTTGAAAGGATTAGAAGGATTAGGAGTTGTGACCTGGTTGGAGGAAATGTACCACTGGGTTATCAAAAGGCCATACCATGCTCAGTCTCTCTCTCTCTCTCTCTCTCTCTCTCTCTCTCTCTCTCTCTCTCTCTC